GTGTGTGTGTGTGCGTGCGTGTGTGTGTGAAAATAATTCACAAAAAAGACAAACTTATTTTATTTCAGCCAATGCAGCGTTTCTCAATTTTATTTAGTTTAACTTAAAATAACTAAAACTGAAATTATTATGAAGTTATTAAAATATTTTTTTAAATATAGTTTATTAATTTTTATTTCAGTTTTAGTTATTATATAAAGCTATAATAAAAAATTTAATTACATTTTTCACAAAATATATAAATATTAATATATTCATATGTCATTACACAAGAATATTGCTGTATGACTGCAGAATGCATTGACTGACAAATCAAAATCATACAATTTAAAGAGCTGTGAATTACTCAAACTTGCCCTGTGCATTAATAAAGTCATATATGAAAACTGTGAGCACACCACACAGCAGCTGTTTAACATCTTCAATCACGTGGTGTGTGTGTATCTGAGGAATGTCATGTCACTGTCCGTCTGCATTATTCCTGGCACACGGCGGATCTAAATGTGGCCGTGGGCCAGTAAATCTGAATACTTAATCTGAGATTAACCCTCCTTATGTTGGGCAAATATTTAAAATATCACCCCTGGCCTGCTAAAATTACAGCTCCTGGTCTGATAACATATTCTACAGATCCCAAATCAGTTTAGAAAAAATATAATTCGTTCTATTTCATTTCCCCCATATACTACTGAATTATCAATTATAAACACATGGGCTCTGTTCCAGCACCCAGTGAGATGCCTTGCTGACTTCACAGGCAACACCCTTCAAAATAAAAAATAACCCATTTGAAACGCTCAACATATTGCTGTCGACAATGTAATAAATTATACTTTTATTTTTACCATAATATGTGATATTATTTTGGTATTTAATAAATTTTAAGCATATTTATTACCAGCAATTCTCTTGTTTCATCCACCATGGATGGATTATACTTTGTCTTTCTCTGTAAAAAAAACAAAAATGAAAAAATAATATTATATTAAAAATTATTTTTAAACAATTTAATTTTTTTTCATAATATATAATATAAATATTATATAATTTTATTTTACAGCACATTTCTCAGAACACTAATATAAATGAAAATATGCATGATATTTTAGTATGTTTAACATTTCTTTCTTCTTTCTCTGTATTTTTTTATGAATTTTTGAAGTTGGAATAAAACATACTACTAATGTTATTTCTGTCTTTCATTCATTTCAGTTAAACAATTCTTTCAAAGTGTATTTTTTTAAATGCACATGCAATTCTGCCTTAGAATTTGGCCAAACGAAGGCATCTTACAGCAGCACAATTACATTTCTAATAGCTTTTGTGTATGGATCATGCTTCAAAATGCTGCCTATGGAAGCTCAACCTTTGGAACAAAATCTAGTTTTACTGTAGACGTTTCCAGATGATTTACACTGTGCAAAACAAACAAGAACACACGCAAGACTGTGTAGCAAACAGCTGCTCATGCGACAGAATATTTCCCTTTTAAAGCAACACGGCACAGCACGCATGAATATCTGAGCAACAGAAAAGGAGGAGAGAGGAAGAGGGGAAAAGAGATGAAAAGAAGACTTAATCATTATCAATAGCTATTAACTTATATATTATAAACTCCTGCAACCCTACAGAGAATAAGCAGTGAGGAAAATAGATGGATAATCAACCAGAAGTGGGTTTTACACTCATTAGCTGTAGATCTGTAATGGCCTTATGGAAAAACCAGCAGACAGACGTTTCGGTCTTTCTCTTTCTCTGACTGACAGACTGTCAAGACACCAGTGACGATCTGTGATCTGAGCAAAAACACACACATCCCACAACACAACAGGCCTAACGAGGACTAGTGATGAACCCATATATATCGGCCCGGCATGGATGGTCACTTGGTGTCAATTCCAAGTGAATAGTGTGCATTTTCATGCCACAAAACTTACTGGTTTGAACTAAAGCAAGGGTTTTCAAACTGGGGTCACAAGAGAGTGCTGGGGGTGGAAAAGTTTAAAGAAAAACAGTGTAAAGAATGTTTAAAAATAAATAAATAAAATAATAATAATAAAATATTAATAAAATATAAATAAAATAACATTTTACTAATATATATAACACACTAAAATTAATTTTATAATCAAGTACTTTACATGTGCTTTAATATATTAGTCAACACATCAAAAAAGTGTACTTCGCTAAAGCAAGAAACAGTCATGAAAGCATATTCTCTTTAAGTAGCCTTTTATTTCATAAATATTATAATCTGTACTGTAAGTACAGTTTTTTAACAATAAACTTGTAAGAATTGAAGTACACTGTAATTGCACATTTAATACAAGAAGCACACTCATTTTTCACAAGGGAAGGTATATTCAAATGATATATATATATATATATATAATAAAAAAATAAAAATAAATTTAATTTAAGTAAATAATTTTAAAATAAACTGTAACTACAGTACTACAGTGAGTAAAAAAAAGGCATTGATGCAATGTAACATAGAAATTTAATAAACTAAATGCATGGAAAATATATAGCTGGCTTTGAAATTTTACAATTTACAACGGGGGTCCCTTACGATCATATTTGGGGTCCGTGTTGTCTAAAAAGATTGAAAACCTCTGAACTAAAGCATCAAACTAAGAAATATCACTTTAAAACAAATGAAAACAGCCAGAAAACAGTCGACATTCTCTCTAAAGTCACAGAAATTCTAAGGGATTTCCACAATTTGCAGAATACAAAATATTCCCAACTTTAAAAATGACAAATGCAAAGACTTTAAGACGGGTGCACGCACTCTTTCTACACGTAATAAGCGTTATCTAGGCTCACAATTGTGTCAGAAAACGCTCGAGTGACCTTCAAATCACAAGAAATGTCCAAACATACACGACAAACACGTTCGTCCTGCGGTAAGCGAGCGAGCTAGCGTTCAGGCCGCGCTACTTAAAGACCTGAGGAGAATAATCCAGAAAGAAAGCAAACTAGAAACAAAAACTTACGCTTATTTAGGTCTAGATGTGCGGTCGGAGTGGACAGCGACTTGGGGACAGGCGGGGAGCTCGAGGTTTTTCTCCGTTAGCGGGATTTTGTCCAGTTTCTTTCTGCAGCCGTTTGTTTCTGTACGCGTCTCACACACAGACTGGGGCGCGGCGCTCCGCACTCGCTGAGGTGAAGAGGCTTCTGATTGGTCTGCGTCACACGAGCTCCCGCCCACTTCGCGAAACCGCCTTTGATGTGAGCCGCCCACATCAGCGATGGGCGGGGCCTGTCCGTCCGCCTGTGTAATCTGTTTTGTGTGAATAACAGTTTCTAACAGTTTTTTAGTTAATTAGCATTTTTTTTAACTGCACATCTATTTTTAAAAGCTTATGCTTATAGTTTGAACCTGTATATTCTGTAATATACATGCATATATACTTATGCAATCATTAAAATAATGAAAAAAATGTGCACGTTGCAATGAACGGTTTTTATATAGTGTTATATATATTTATATATTTAATATATTAGTTTAATGTTTTATATATAATTCTAATGCTGAAATATTGTAATGTGAAAATTGCAAGGCACGGTTATCAAGGTCAATTGAAGTGATCAAATGTATAACTTAAACGCAATGTAATTCAAACTACATTTACAGTTATTCCTTTAGCAGATGTTTTAATCCAAAGCGATTTACAAATGAGGATAATAAAAGCAATCAAAACGGCAATAATATGTAAGCGCTGTGACAAGTCTCGGTTAGTCTATCGCGGTACACGTAGCAAGGTTTATTTTTTATAATAAATAAAAAGAAAAACAAGTACATAGAATAGAAAAAGAATAGGGAACACTAGTATTAGAGGGTCTTTTTTTTATAAAAATTAAACAAGTCAAAAGAATAGAAAAATTATAGAAAATGCCAGTGTTAGAGGGTTATTTTTTATAATAAATAAAAAGAAAGCAAGAAGATAGAATAGAAAAGAATGGAGAATGCTAGTGTTAGAGGCTCTTTTTTTTTTTTACAAAGAAAACAAGTAGTAAGAATAGAAAAAGAATAGAGTGTGCAATATATTTATTTTTTTATTTTTTTTAGAATTAGAATAGAGTGCTATATATATATATTGGTTTGTTTGTTTGTTTGTGGCTTTTTAAAGCAGCACTATGTAACGTTTTCTGTGTTCAAAATTTGCAAAATGTATATAATGAGCGAGTACATCATGAATTCATCTTCCAAACCGCGTTTTTGTCTTATTCCAAATCACTACGGTACACTTATAATAAGTACTTATATTTGGACTATTGTTGGCTGGTCAATCAATGTGTCGTCACGAGCCGCAGGGTTTAATTTGGATTTGTCTGTGCATGTTTTTTTTACTCTCATAGATTTTGTTACCATTGCCATGCATTATACGACTGACAGACTGCAACGGCTGGAGTTAAAAATCATCATATGTGTTCTACTGAAGAAACAAAGTCACCTACATCTTGGAGGGTAAGCAGATAAACATCACATTTTCATTTTTGGGTGAACTATCCCTTTAAAGCAAATTTAAGGTTTGTCAGTTCTCAAGTTCACCACATGAGGTCGCCAGATTACACTACTACTGTATTTACCAGAAAGTTAATAATTTCACTGGTGGTCATTAGTCGTCTTGTATAGATCTTAAATGTTGTACATTTTGACATTTCTCAGAACAGTTCTGAGATGCTTATACTGTAGTTAATGGATGACTGTTTTGAATTATTATGCCATTTATACGCACTGTTTCCTAGACTTCATTTGGCTCTTGTGCCTCAGGATTGGTAATGGTTATAAAATTATAAATAAGTTTTGCGTATGGACCTTAGTGATGCTGCTGAGTTAGTTACAGCATATGAAAAGATTGTTTTATGCTCATTTTAGCACAGATTTGTGGTATGTTACGTGGTTGGATTCCAGCCATCAAAAGATCTGGTCCAGAATCAGTGCAAAAAGAAAAACCTCGACACTGAATTCCTCACCGAGTAACCTTGAGATCTGGACTATCATGCAGTTTGAAAGTAAATCTTCCTCTAATGCAACAAACTGAACGTAAATACACAGTTTTGATGTGCTCTATTATATTTGCTTTAAATAAGCAGTGGACTCACTGGGTGACCTAATATGGTATTATGTCTTTATTCTTGCTGTAAACAGTGTAATGAGATCTCACCATCAGAGATTTGCATCATCGGTTATTGTAATGAATATAACATTAAAAGAAAGAAAGAAAAGAGGCTAAAAACCGGTTCGGGCACATTCTCCAGTAGCTTCATGCATCATAAAAGCTGTTTGAGATGTTTACTCGGTCACTTCCTGCTCGACTCTGCGGTTCTTTGCTGCGATTACTGAAGGTTTGACGCTTTAGTAGCTGACTGCTTCAAGGATTTAAATAAAAAACTGAAAAGGAATAAATATTTCCAGATCTGGATCTAGGTGAGAGTCAGATGGATGCATGGAATTTGTGCATTTCTAGATTGCATTCACATTAGAATAGTTCTGATACAGTTCTATTGCAGAATTTGGGGGTCTGAGAAAGAAGGAAAATGTCTATTTATTTGAAAATGTCTTAATATCTCACTCCTGTGCTTTGATTTGAAAATGTTTCAAACATCATCTTGCATTCTTCGATGCAATTACGACAGTTTTTAGGTGTTCACGTAATCAATAATCACTCATTTGTGTACGCCTGATCAATTCTAGATGACTAGTGAAGACTGTTAAATATTTCTTCTTCATTTAATGATATCTCACAGTGCAATGTCCAGTATATTTTCCAGGTGAATGACAATCTCAGATTTCCACATTTTTATCCTGCACTGGTTTTCTTTTCTCTCTGTTTTTTTTGTTATGCTTTCTGCAAAGGTAGGATGACAAGAAAACTAAAAGAGATGCCAGAGAGAGAACAAAATGCAGCTGAAGAAAAAGAAAAGCAGAGAAAGGAAACAGCACTGAGAGACAAAGACAAAGCTGCGCAGAAGGAAAAAACACTGAAGAGAGGGGAAAAAAACGCCTGTGGATTCAGAGAACATCTAAAAGTGCACCAGATGAACAGCCTTGACATAAATCGATCAAACTGTAAGAACATTCGGGAGGATTTTCAGATTTGAAGTGACCCATACAATGTATTGTTGGCTATTGCTACAAATATACCCCAGCGACTTAACACTGCTTTTGTGCTCCAGGCTCACAGATATATATATATATATATATATATATGCATATCTCATGATGTGGATGATTACCAAAATTTGTGTGTGCGGATATGAAAAACCAGACTGGGTTTTTCGTTAAAATTAATAAATGTGACTTTTATCAAGAACACACGTGAAGTGAAATCCTGCAACAATAAATCTTAATATTATATCACATATTAAATCAAATGCTTACTTATCAGTAGGTTTTCACCAAATTCCACACTGCAACATTGATTCATAAAAGATAAAAATTAAAGGAATAGTTCACCCAAAAATTTAAATTGACTGAAAATGTGTTCACCCTCAGACCATCCCAGATTAGTGAGTTTGTTTCTTAATCAGATATTGTGATGTTTTTATCAGCTGTTTGGACTCTCATTCTGACGGCACCCATTCACTGCAGAGACACTGATGCAATGCTACATTTCTACAAATCTGATGAAGAAACAAACTCATCTTGGATGGCCGGAGGATGAGCATTTTCATTTTTGCATGAAATATTCCTTTAATGCATGAAGAAAATGAAGCCTTTTGGAGTGGAATATGATCAAGAAGCTTGATGTGATTCACTCAAACAGAATCCTGAATGTTTGTTTGTTTGTTTTCAGTCTCTCTTGATCCAGACTGAGCTGCAGAGCATCATTTTGTGTGAGAGAAATTCAAGCAAGAGGTGAGAGATGCACCGCTCATCTTCAGAGGACAGATCTGTGTGTGTTTGGGTTTCTAACACACTGTGTTTTTCTCTTCAGAAAGCAGCAGTTTTCAGTCACTGATTCGGAATCAGACTGGAATACACAACACCAATATTTTTGAGTTCATAACTTGATGACTAAAATTGTACTGTGTACATATTTAAACATATTTTGATTTGATATTGTGTACACATGCTTACATATATGTGTCATATGATAGTAGTATGGTCAGACAATGGAGACTGGAGATTTCCCAAAGCCTCATTTACGGTTTAGGGCTAGTTACAGTTGTGGACAAATTCTATGTCTAGGTTACTAGTCCTGTGACTTCAGGCACTTTACTCTGACATGCAGAAGATGATATTTTTATTTAAACTTGTCATTACTTTGCTTGTGCTTTTTAAGGTATTTTTATCTGAAGCATCTGGTGTCAAGTTTCTCATTCATGTGCTTCGTGAGATCTCGGTTTTTGAATTGCATGAACCAAATGATACCAGGGATTAAGTGTCTGTATTATTTAGATTCTATTCACTTTGTGAAAGGATATGGAAATGTCCATATGGAAAGTGTACGTTACATGTCTGTATTCCTGAACAGGTGTTTGTTTTCAGTCATCACGATGATTACCCAAATCTAAGTGTCTGTTGCTTTGCAATGCACAATAAATATTTCAGTTTAGCCAACAAATATGACCTTCTATAGCTTGACTTGTCACATAGAAAGATACAGAATATATAAAGTAATCAATAATAATTACAGGTGCTTCGTTGTCAGAGTTTAATTAAAATAAGCAAATAAGTAGATAAGTACATGAACATACAGCATATAAAATTATTTTCAAACTTCAAGCAACTTAAAGATTATTGGAGCACATTTTACAAGAAATATTATTTCACTTGTTCTTCACAATTGCACATTTAATTCACTACTTGCAGTTTCTTCTTAATTATTTGTGAAATTTACTAGCAATTTCTGAGTGAAAATTATTTTTTCACCATTTTTTCAGTTTATGTAAAAACTGAACAAATTGATTTTCGTTCAGATGAGATTTGATATAAATAACATTTAAAATAATTGATAAAATACAACTAAATTCAATGGAATGTGAAGGAACACATTCTGTGTGTGTGTGTGTAGGTTACGAGGGTGTGTTTTGTCAAATAAACACAGATGACTGCGCATCACAGCCTTGCCTCAACAATGGAAAATGCATCGACAAGATCAACTCGTTCCACTGCGAATGCCCC